AATGAGAATAAAATTTCAACAGCGCTGTAATTAAGGAAGGGTCTGACTGAAGGGGCATTAGTTTATTGTTTATTCCAGGAGCCCTGAGATAAAAATTCAAATATACTTCCTCTCAGATTTAGGCCAGGGGCTTGCAATCAGACTTTTGTATCACAGGTGGGTGCTGGTGCCAACTGTAAGATACAACCTTTAATCAATCAGTACCATCCAAGAGCACTCCGAAATAGTAATTCCCTGTTCTCCAATCCATTCGCTGTCTTCTAGACAATATCTGCTTGAGATTTATGCCTACATTCGATCACCCAGTTTTCATGTTAGTTCGGTAGCAGTAATAAAACAACCAGCAGAAATAAAAGATCAGCTGTAGTGTTGCCCAGGAGATGTGTGGGGATGTGTGTGTCTAAACAGGCTTGCAGAACTGGGGAAATGAGAGCTCTTCTCCCAGTCAGTGGCAGTTCTTAGAAATATAAAGGCTCAACACACAGAAAGCAACATACTGGCTTCATAAATGCATACATACAATATACAAGAGCTCTCTGGGAGGAAGCAGAGTCAGATTGCCACAGGGAGTTACATATGAACTAGCTGCTGCCATTTGTATTATTACTGTAGGACCTTGTCGGTACCTGAAAATCCCTGGGGGGAAATTTGTCAGGAGATACACTGCAGTAATAACACTCAAATAACGATCAGGTTTGATTACCAGTCACTCTGGTCTGTGCAGTAAAGCCAAAAAATTGCCAGATCTGTAAATTGCATAGCAATCCTGATTTCCTGAATGTAAGGAAAAGCACAGCAGGAGTTGCCCCTGCTCAGGTGCCATTTACACTCCACAAACATGTGGGGCAGGAGAAGGATTGGCTATGGCAGAGCAAAACCCCTTGTCTGATGCTGACAGCTTGCAGTCACCAATGTTTCAAATCCCTTCATTGCAGTTACAAATCCCTTAGCCAGCACAACTCAGCACGAAGCTCATGGGGTCCCCCTGTAGTTGCTGGTTACCCTCTGGATGGTACAGCATCCATTGTGGTGGCCAAATTTGTCCCTTCATTCCACTCACATCTCTGTACCCCTGGTTGTCCAATGCTGTAGTGGAGAGAGGAATTATCTAGAGGTGCCTGAACAACTCTTTTTTTTTTTTATCTCTGAGGTCTAGCAGTGTTACTCACTGTAGGAAGGGATGGAACAGTTCATTTTTAGTGAATATTGCAAAACAATCTGAAAACAACAAACCAATAAATCCATGATTGGTACTAGCCAAGTAAACACAGTTGACAGGAGACCTTACACAAGAACTGACACAAAAAAATTACACACACAACTCCTCCTTCCTGAACAAGCTCCAGTGGCTTGGAGGACAAAACAACTGCTTGTTCTTCAATTAAGCCTAGTTCTTAGAAGCATAAAAGCTCATTACCCATAAGAGACTATTTACTGCTAATTATTCCTTTCAGATTTGTAAACAATGCTCTTTGCAATACAAGAATAACTCATCTGAAGAGTTATCCTCTTCCAAGGAAGACACAGAAACCTACTGCAATCTTTCTGAACAAGCTGGTTCTTTGATGTCAGATGATGTGTTCTGGCAATATACTGCTCATGACCTGCTTCAAGAGCATGGGTGACTTCCTAGAGTGTTTTGGTAGGAATATCAGGGCGGGAGGGGGGGATAAAGGAGTAATTACTGTTGGGCAAGGGCAAATTACAAACAGAAACAGGAGGTTAAATCAACTCATTTAGCATTATTTGTTAATTCCGGATGAGTGTGTTTCAATTGACTTTGTGCTGTCTTTCTCTGAATTGCCCAGATCATGTTATGGTTGACCTTTTTTGTCTTTTTAAAGACAGCATTGACTTTGTTTCTATTTTTATTGGACTATATAATCCCTTCTTGGACTGGTGACATTAATATCCTCAGGGGACTGTCTTGGCTCCAAGTCAGTGAGCTGTTTTGCTTTCCTTTTCCCATCTACACACAGCAAAGACATTACTACCGACAATTAACTCAATAATCCACTGGATAGATGAGCACCTTTCCAAGAATCTCGTATGAAGTGTCTTTTGAAAGTGTCAGGCTTGATTAGACTTTCAAACTGAGTTTTCTGAACTGACATTAAGATTTGTGGTTTAGCAAGTATAAACAAATATGCAGATTTAATCTGCCTTAATTTTGAGTTGAAGGCTTATTATGAAACTATGAAAGAAACTAGAAAGATTTTAATCCATGCAACTGGGAAGATTATTTAGTAAAAAAAAAAAAAAAAAAAAAAAAAAGATCAGTCTACTGGTACAACACATGGTGTAGTGACAAAGAGATAGATCCAAGTTTGGACAAGTGTTGGGATGCTGAGATTATCCAAACTGCCCACGCTGACTTGGGTACCAGTCGCAATTCAGACTACACACGCTCACAGACCTGGAATGAATGAGCTTGAGCTGGCCAGTTGGAATCGCTGAAAAGAGTAATACACTAGAAATGCTTTCTCTTTCTGATTCAAGCACTTCTGGCTGTATTTAATTACCAATATAAAAGTAGGTTTCAAAGCCCAGTAGGTTCCTGGGTACAGATATCTCAATCTCATACAATGAGGGGACACAAAGAAATATTCCCTTGATATTTGCTTGGACTGTTTTTTGAATTTCCATTAAATATTGAAGGTGGAGGAGAATCCAAATTCAAGGTCTGTCATGGTTTCCATCCCAAGAACTGCAAAGTGGTTGGGTCATAAGGCATCCTAAGCAGTATCTGGGGGAAAGCTGCATGCACAACATCCTGGCTGTTCTTTGCTTTGCTTCCATTTCTCAGAGTTGAGAGCTCTTATTTGTGTCCTTTTGTCAAGTACAGATGAAAACCAACCAGCCTGACTACTGGTGAAGCCAGCGGAAGGGGTCTAACCTTCAGAACTACATCCTCATCCCTGTAGTTTCACCTACCCTGAGAAATTCAAGCATGCCAGGAGCTGTTTCTAGAGTACACTCATCTCTCATGCAAGAGGGAGGGAGGGTGCTGCCGGTCACACCTCAGGCTTGAGCCAACAAGCATTTCCTGGACGGTTCAGGAGTTAACACAGACCAGCATCTGTTCCTGAGAGATTTTTTGGATGTGGGCCCCCTGTTCCAGAGGCCAAGCTGTGTTCTCTGCTGGTTATTGCCCAGGGCCAGGGGATACATTTATCTCATCTGTATAGATGCCTGCTTGGCCTCCATTGTACTGATGCAACGCAGTTTTGAAACCATGACCACAAGTATCCCAAAACAAAAGGAACCAGAGGAGTGGCTGAGAGCTGCTTGCTTACCCCCTATACAACACCCAACAACCTTGTTTAGCACTCCCTGAAGGCCATCACACATAACCATTGTTTTAGACTATGCTAACATGTTAAAGAAATTGCTTTTGAGCAACCACATGATTACAGGAATCACGCATATCCGATCCTTCTCCCCAAGTCTTCTACCCAAGTGACCTCCAATTTCAATGATATCCATTTTCACAAGCCATTTTCACAAGTTTTATTTTGTGATACTGTCTGAGTAATGAAACATCCTCTGTATAAAAATCAACAGCACTGGTAAAATCTATCAGACTTGAGCTAGGAAAAATTGATTGTGATGCCTGGATTGGCTGTTGCACAGCTGAAGATACTCATTTAGTATCTGCAACTTCCTTTACTTAGCAGTTTATCTTGAGTTACTCCTGGGCAATGGAGGACAGACTTAGACTCTTTAAAGCAGCCTTTCTAAAAATAAGGGACTAAAGCACTCACCATGAGGGTCGTGCCACTGCTGGGATTTCAGTGAAGAATTTAAAGTCTCACTCCACCTCCAGGGTCAAAAGCCTCACACTGACACAATAGGGAAATGCAATGTTCTATGAGTGTCCTATGGCAGGGACAGGCAGGCAGTGTTCCCAAACACACACTGCTATTTTTAAAGGAGAGTTGCCTTACAAAACGTATGAGTCTGTGTTGAAGGTTTATGCAGGAGGCATGTGTGTGCACATGCATCTGTGTTTAGTTAACTGAGTGAGCTGAACTGTTGAGTCAATTATTATATTTATGTATGTTTGTCATGGAGAGACAGTGGATACAACACAGGAAACTAGAAAAGGTTTTTAGTATAGAGGAGTAACGTCAAGTCAACGCACTTAGATACTAGATTTAAAAAAAAAAAAAAAAAAGCACCTCCCCAGTTCTCCTCGAACTTGCATGCTGCTATATTTACCATTACAAACTCTAAACATCCAGTCAAATAAGTTTCCTGACTCTCCCAGGCTGGCATACTGTAGAAAGCCATCGGTGACTCATGCTTGGTTATACATGTATAAATACTTTGATAAGTGTGAGCTGCCCATCAATACGGAAGAGCACCTTAATTTCATGCCTGTCCACATGTCAGTGCTGCCAGCTCACAGCCTTCACCAAGAACTTTGCTAGTTCACTTCACTTACTTCTGCAACTTTTGCAGTGAAGCCATTGGAAAGAAACTTGTTTAGCAAAGAAAACCCACAGAACCCTACATTTTTTTTTTCCTGTCCTGGCTGGTTGTGGAGAGTCTTGAAAACCTGATGCAAAAGAGACCAGAGAATCCCTTCAGACTTAGGGAAAGGCTTGTAAATAAGCATCTTCAATATCTGCCTCTCTCCAAATACGCTTTGGGTGAGAGATACTCCACATCACTTCTAAAATTTAGCATAGATAATACCAATTTTAAAAATCACTGCTGATTTGTGCACTTACCAGAAACTGCCCAAGAAGCAGGTCAGATGAGAGTGTGCTGAAGCACAGTGCTGCCTCACCTCTCTGCTAGTAGTTCTTGGTAAATTTTTCATCATGTCCTAGTAATTACAGTCAAGACTGGATAGCCTTAATAGTTAAGTCTGCATAGTTTTTTGTTGTTGATATTTTTTTTTAGAAATAGTCTTTCTAAGGCTAGTCAGCAATGAGTGCAAGCCCCAATTTATGATTTAGGATGGAAGAGGGAAGAAAAAGAAGACAAAAAAGTGAAATATAGGTGGTTTTATTGAGTTGATTCTTTACTTGCTAGCTACCTAGTAACTCCCCATGATCAGTATTTCAGAAGGGATATATATATAAGCAAAAACCATAATTACATATGACATTTTCTGCAGCATCAAGGCTGGTTCATGCTCCCTTGCTGTTCATTTCCATCTTCATATCAGTTCACCTGCACTCTCAATGAGCTGTTTTAACTCTGTAAGTCAAGCTGCAAACCAGATCACCAAGTCAGTTGGGGTGAGAAAAAGCACCAAACACAGGTGAACCCTGTAAACATTCCATGTTTCTAGAATACCTCCTAAAAGCTTCTCAGGTGCACTATCACTCACAGAGGCTATATAAACATCTTTCTTGACCATAACTCCTACATGCTTTGTAATTTAATCTGAGAAATGCTGCTATAATTGTTGTGGTCAATTTGGCAAACATTCTCTATGATATATAAAGCCTTTCCTCTGCTCCTTTTCAGGCTGTTTCACAACTTTGTTTTTAGCATTATCCAGTGGCATGGAATAACTTCTGTTTCCTTCACCTATAAAGGTTTCTGTCATTCTTCCTCCCTCCCGATGAGGTTTTGCCTGTGGTGGAATTGCTCGCCTTAGGGTTTTGGAGCTGTGAGCTGTTCAACACATGGCGGCTGATTAAGCCACATCTCAAGTAATGAAAAATTGCTCACCTTCTTATGGGGGTTTGGCAGTCTTTGTGAAAAGCTGGAGCTGGTCCTGTTCCAGGTTGTAGTAGACAGCTGTCATGCAACAGCATGAGCTATAAAATGCCTTTGTCAGGGAGCAGCAAGGGCCAGCTGCTTCCCAAGGCACAGAGAGCCAAGAAGCAGGAGTGATAACACAGCTAACGGGGCAAGAGCCTCACAGGCCAACATCTTGTCCTACAACCCCAAAGATCCAGAGATAGCATCCACATTCATGCAAAAGTCCAGATCATCAGGCAAATTCCTGGTGATAAGGCAGGACTGCAGTTAAGCCAGGAAGTCAACATGCAGATCACAATCAGGTCTAGCAGCAGCAGCCAGACATAGTCCTATGATTATCACACAAGTCCTCAGTCACAAAGTAGCTCCAAGGCCAAGCTGAGAGGTCAGCCCATAGGTCAGAGCTTGGATTAATAGGGTCTATGATCAGACACAGCTAAGACTGAGCCTAGGACAAATATTCCTACAACGTAATTCAGATTAAGGCTGAGTCAAGGCTGAAGGCCTAGGACTAAACTTAACTGGAGCCCCTGATCCCATAAGCAGAGAACGTGGCTCCTCTCTGCTGATTATAAAGGGAACAAACACCTGCAGGTGATCAGCTGAATATCACAACAGATATAAATCAATCTCTTCCTCAGCTGGTCTTCATTTCTGATGATGCATAGCCTAAAATTAAGATCTGTTTCAGAGGAAATTTTTCTTCACAATTAGAAGCAGGGAGCTTTGAGAAACTAGAATGTCAGTTACTGAGTACTGTTTAGTTTCTTAGTTTCTGTAAGAGGTGGATGCTGGTCTCTGTATGCAGCACTCAGTAGCTAAAGTAAGTAATGTCTACATAAGATCTCTTGCTAAGGTATTACTTCAAGTGTTGGGAACTTTTTTTTTTAAGACATTAGGACATTTTTAGCATAAGTAGCATCTTTTCAAGGCCCTTATCAAAGATTCTACTAAAGATCTGCATGACTGGTTCCCTTGTATATCAGCAAAATACTCTGAATTACAGCATTTGGGCAGTACACGGGGAGATATTGCTATTGTTCATACAAAGGGACCTCAGCCTAAAGGTTTATCATGCCAGCAAACAGGATGCATTCTATGGAGATCAGCGGAACATTCCTTTAGATATCTGCTACCTGGTAAACCTTAATATCTGAAATTCGTTTTTACTTTCTTGATCTATACCAAGAAAATGTAGTCTGACTTTAAGTCTTTGTGAACTCTTTCGTTTTTTTGTTCTCTTCTGTTGTTTTTCCCCCACCTTTAATCCACTCTGTACCCCGAGGTTTTGTTAGTATGATACACACAAGTGGGACTTGCTGGATTGGTAGAGAATTGAATTGCGTACAGTCTGTCACTGTCCTACAGCCTTGGCTGCTTAGAGACTCTGGGTTAGACTGCACTGATGAAGTTTAAACAACTTTAAAAAGAGACCTTTCTTGATACATGAGTATTTTTATCTCCACGGCTCTGTCAATTCAGTGGTTCTCAAACTAATGCATGGAAAGCTTGGAACAAATTCCTGTGTGCCATGGTATCTGGCTATGGGACAATCCCCTCAAGAATTTCAGGCAACTTCATTTCCTGGTTTTCTTTGGAAAAGGTTTCAGCACCTCAGTCTTGGGGAAGATCCCTTCCATTTTGAAATTCTCCCACACTTTCCTTCACTACCACAAAACAACACAACAGAGCTAAAAAACATTGTATCCTTAAATATATTCTGAATCTAGGAAGGCACGATGCCAGAGAACCTGAACAATACTGCTGTTGCTCTTGATCGTATATGGAAAGCAATTACATATTATAATGATATCTGGCAGCATCTGTCTCCAACACGGATAGATTATGGATAAGTCCCATGGGAAATATCTACGTTCTGCAATGTGCTGCCAAAACTGAGATATTCAGTCTAGTCCCAACCAAGCTAATTCTGGACATGGAAACAATATAGTTGTGTCAGTAGGATGTTTCACACAGATAAATTTGCTGCGCTAATTGACCCATCATAGGTCCATTTTGAGAGGCGTATGGCCTGTGACAAAATGAGTTTCCATGACTGTCATCCAGAGCTCCCCACAGAAAGGAGAGCACACGTTACTTTAGGAGACAATAATGGCAAGCCCTGGGGTAAGTCAAACTAGTCTCAGAAGTAAAATATGCCAAATGACACAGAGATTAGCCACGTCTTCTTTCCTCACAGCTAGAATTAACCTAAGTTTACATTGATTTTTGCACTGGATTGAGCCCTGATAGCAGTCTACACCTGCTGTGTTCATGACCATGAAGATTTTTGTGGAGTCAGCCAGATTCCCAAGGTCAGTTGGTATGTCTTTGTATTCAAAAACCCTTAATATTTTTTTTTCTTCTATGATTTTTTTTCCTTTTTTTTTTCCATATATATTCCAATATTCCATATTTAATTATATACATTTCTGTATTTTCCACATTTTCCTTTCCTTTTCTGGGAGATTATAATGATGGGGACAATATACTTCTACCTCTTCTTCCCAGGGGGGAAAATGAATCTGATTTTTCTGCCCCTTTCCTTAGATAAGAATCTCTTGTCACAGGTAAACACTGAATCCTCAACACCTCCTTGAGCAGGTACAAGAAAAGATTTGAACTTTTAGGCAATGGTGATGTGATGTAGTTCCTGAGCTCAGACACACTACTTCGGTCTTATTTTTGACCTTAACTGTGTCTATTGAGTTGCAGGTAAGGAGTTGTGTCATGTCTTGTGAGCTCAGCATAGCGTAAACTCTTCCTGCCTTTAGCAGACTGCACAGCCAGAAACAGAGATGCAAAGTAAATGTGAAAATCCATGGCAATTACACAGTGGCGTGTTTAGGGATACAATCCAAGTGGGAAAAGGATTTGGAGGGATATGAATCCAAAGGCACAGTTCATGAAGTGAACGCTGTCATCTTTATTTGCTCTATTTATTTTCAATTTTGTTTTCATTCTTTTTGTCCCTGTATTCCTACCATAACTGCATAGCACAAGTTTGTACTCAATTTATGAATACTCGAATGACTTTAACCATTTCACTTCTGATTAAGTATTTGGTAAACACATGACTTAATTAAAACTGAAGAAGGAAATAAATTTTCTTTTTCACTTTAAATTCTGACAAGTGGGAAAAAAAATCGAATTTTAAATGGGTAATAAGAAAGCAACTTTCTCTACTAAATGAAATTAACAGTAACATCAAATGCTGTTTGTTTAGGGGGGAATCAAAATATTTAATTATGATTTCTGCTCTTGTGCTTTCCCATGCTTTCATGGGAAATAAGTAAAAGAAAAAGCTGTTTTAAATTGGAAAACAAACTCTGCAGCTCCTGAAAGACTAACCAGGGAATATTTATATGGTTGTGTTCTATTCTGATTTTTCAATACAGTATTTTATCAAACCTGACATATTTCCATGATACGTTTTTCTTTTGACAGGTTGACATTTCCCAGTAGGAAAATATTCCCTGGGAATGTTTTTTTTTTTTTTTTTTGGTGTTGTTGGTGGTGTTTTTTTTTGTTTTGTTTTGTTTTTCAGATGATCTGCCATTCTTAAAGCAAAGGCACAAGTTGTGAGATGCTGAAAAGAGTTCTAACAGTCCCACAAGGAGGGGAGGCAAGGTAAGGTGTGGGGAAAGGTCTTGGAAGCAGGCAGATCACTGCATTTTACATTCTGCCTCAACAAACCACATAAGCAAATACTAGGGCTTAATGAAGCAGGTGACCCGATGCCTCTTTATCATGAGAACACTGCCTCTGTAGAAAATATTTAATGTGAGACTTAAGGTCTTGACTTTTAATAAGCATTCCCCTATTAATTTGTTAAGTCTCAAGACTTAAATAGCTGCTCAGAAGCTCAACAGACTGAATTTAGTGTTAGTAAATGTATTACTAAATATACGCTTACTTAAAGGCATTTATTTCTTGAAAACAAATGAGTAGGACTGGGACTCAACTTTTAAACAGAGATATCCACTGAGATGGATTAAAATTACTGCCTTTTACATATAATGATGGCAAGATCTGTCTCGGTATTTAGACCATGTTAAAAAATACAAAGCCATATTCCCACTGACATTTGTATGAAACCAGAATAATTCCAATGAAGCTGACTTGTTCTGGCAGTAGCACGTTACCTTTTCTCTGTTTAATATGATTCACTATTCTTGGTATCACAAAAGTCTTTAGTTTTTCATTATTAGAAAAAAAAAAAAAAAAAAAAAAGAAGTTATGGGCACTTTTTGTCCTCTACAAAATGACTGCTTGTTCCTGTTGTTGTTTTAACTGACAACCTTTCTTTAGACATCAAACGTTTTACTAAGGATCATGAACCTGGGTATCATTGTGCCCTCTACTCTGAGAATAGCAAAATTATTGATCTTACACCTTGAAATGTCGGAGAAGTAGACGACATATTGTTAGCTAGTGGGCTACAAATGTTCACAGCAAATTAAATAATAATAATAACAATAACAAGGAAAAAAATGGTTATTTGTAAGCAGTTCCTGCCTTGTTATCCTATTTTCATTTCCCAGCAGTATTCTTTGAATTTACTATGAACTATATTGCAAACACTATGGTATGTGAAAGATCTGGAGCCTGCAGAAAGTGGCCAGGGAATGATTATTTCCTGTTTCTTTCAAATCAAGAACTATGAGCTGCAAAAAAAAAACCTGCCAAAGGTCTGTTTCAAAACCAGTTGTAGAAAATGATTCCTCACATTGTGTGAACTGTGAGACTCCTCAATACAGCATGTTATGAAAGGTAAGAGTTTACATGGGTGCAGAATAATGGGCATAAACAAAAATAAATGTGGAATATGGAATGCATGTGGAATAGAAAAAAAAATCATATAAAATCTTTAAAAAAGAAAATGAAAACTATTAATATATTTTTTTTTAATGGGAAGACACGCCATCTGACTCAGGAGACCACTAGGACAGAACTTGCTGGAGGATCAGTAAATACTCCAGAGACTCCAGGGATTGTCCCATTTTTATTGTAGTCATACAGTCTTAGCCCATGAAATGGAGTGAGAGTCCTTTGTTTAACAAGACACAGCCACCCTAATACAGTTATACAACCCTGCAATTTCAAGGAGGCTACTCCTTATTTAACCTGGGTCACTGCTGTGCTCACACAGGTGAGGAGGAAGATATGTCATATCAGACTTCAGGTCTGGAGAGAGAGTGTGTGTTTACCTGTGGAGGCTTGTGAAACTGGGGTGAGTGGAGCAGATGTGCTTGAAGGATGAATCTGAGATACAAATGGTTAATCAACATATCCTTATCAGTTTTCCACTGCTATGTTTACTCAAGCACTTGGAAAGTTTATCAATATGTTTGTCACTGAAGTTTCCACCCACTTAAAACACCGCTGCCCGTTGCTACACGAAACTAATCCAAAACTTGCAGACCTATTCACCTGACTGCAGACCTATTAATAACATTCTTTGCATGCTTCAGTGATCACAGACAAGCCATACATCTAATAAGTGCTTTTGAACCACTGTCAAGCTCCTT